ACCTCTCCTTAGTATTTCTTAGACCACCCTCTGCCTCTTCTCGTGCCCTCCACAACCAACCGCTCACACCTCCGTACCGGAACATCTGGGCTTCTCCTTTGAACATGTCTGAACCATCTAAGTCTCGCCTCCCGGATCTTGTCATCAATGAGAGCCACGTGCACCTTCTCCCGAATAACATCATTCCTAATCTTATCTATCCTAGTGTGCCCGCACATCCACCTCAACATCCTCATTTCTGCTACTTTCATCTTCTGGATATGTGAGTTCTTAACGGGCCAACACTCAGTGTCATACAACATAGATAGTCTAACCACCACTTTATAGAATTTACCTTTGAGTATTGGTGACACTCTCTTGTCACACAGGACTCCAGATGCTAACCTCCACTTCATCCATCCTACCCCAATACGGTGTGTGACTTCCTCGTCGATCTCCCCTCCCCCCTGGATAACCAAACCAATGTACTTGAAGCTGCCTCTACTCGGGACGACCTGTGATTCAAGCCTCACATCCACGCCTATTTTCCATGGCTCAGCACTGAATTTACACTCCAGGTATTCCGTCTTTGTCCTGCTCAGCTTGAAACCCTTAGACTCAAGAGCTTGTCTCCAAACCTCTAGCCTCTCGTTAACACCGGCTCGCGACTCATCAATCAGAACTATGTCATCGGCGAATAGCATGCACCATGGCACCTCCCCTTGAATATGGTGTGTTAACACGTCGATCACCAGAGTGAATAAGAACGGACTGAGCGCAGAATCTTGGTGTAACCCCATTACAACCGGAAAATGCTCAGAGTCGCCTCCTACTGTCCTAACCCGAGTCTTAGCCCCATCATATATGTTCTTAATCGCCATAATGTAGGGAACCGACACACTTTTTGCCTCTAGGTATCTCCAGAGAACTTCTCTAGGAACCTTGTCATACGCTTTCTCTAGGTCAATAAAGACCATGTGTAGATCCTTCTTCCTCTCTTTGTACAGTTCCACCAACCTCCTAACAAGGTGTATAGCTTCTGTAGTCGAACGACCCGGCATGAACCCGAACTGGTTGTCGGATACAGACACTGTCATCTTCAACCACCATCTCCCATACTTTCATGGTATGACTCAGTAATTTGATACCCCTATAATTATTACAACTCTAGATATCACCTTTGTTCTTATACAATGGGACCACCGTACTCCACCTCCACTCACTCGACATCCTCTTAGCCTTAAAAATAACATTAAACAACCTAGTCAACCACTTCAAACCTGCTCTCCCCATACACTTCAAAAATTTCACCGGAATCTCGTCTGGCCCAGTCACTCTGCCCCTACTCATCTTACGCATAGATTCCATGACCTCATCAACCTCGATACGCCTGCAGTACCCAAAGTCACGGTGACTCTCGGAATGCTCCAATTCGCCTAGCACAATATCCTGGTCCCCTTCTTCATTCAGAAGTTTATGAAAGTAAGTCTGCCATCTTCTCTTAATCTGGGCATCTTCCATTAATACTCTACCATTTTCGTCCTTGATGCATCTCACTTGGTCCAAATCCCGAGCCTTCCTCTCTTTCAACTTGGCCAGCCACAATAACTTCTTCTCCCCGCTTTTTTTACCTAGTTTCTTGTACATACGACCATAAGCCACAGTCTTAGCCTCTGTGACCGCCAACTTGGCCTCCTTCCTAGTTGTCTTATACCTCTCCATGCATGCTCGTCTCTCCTCCTCATCTATGCTCCCCACTAACTTCAGGTACGCCGCCTTCTTAGCTTCCATTTTACCTTGAACCACTTCATTCCACCACCAGTCTCCTTTGTGCCCACCAGAGACACCCGTCAAGACTCCTAACACCTCTCTCGCAGCCTCCCTAATATAGTCTGTTGTCGCTGACCACATAGTGCTCGCGACGCCACTGCTTCTCCAAGCTCCCATAGCCGACAACTGCCCCTCCAACTCTTGGGCTTTATCCTTAGTTAAGGCCCCCCACCTGATTCTCGGACTTCCTCGAGTAGACCTTTTCCTCCTCTTTAACATAATACCAACGTCCATCACCAAGAGCCTATGCTGCATTGCGAGTAACTCACCCGGAATCACCTTGTAATCCTTGCACAGTCCTCTGTCATCTCTCCCGAGGAGGAGATAGTCAATCTGAGTCAAATAATTTAAATCAAGTCTTCAGGAATAAAATAATAGTCTGGGTTGAGGTTCTCACTTTTCTTATCTTTTTATGTTTTTATTTAAGTCTAATTTTGGTATATTACAATATGGGTGTAATGGGAATAGAATCTCCTAATGAAATTGATCATTGTCGCTTACATAAAGAGTAAGTTAAATTATGCCAGTTCTGAAATTAGCTTATGTAGCCATTACTCGTACCGTTTTATTTTTCTTTTTAAATAAATCTCATAGTTTCAACCTTGCAGTTCTAAGTGTCTGAAAGTAGAAAATTATATAATTAAAAGATCTAAATAACATTCACTAGAATATTAACTAAAAATATTTTCTTGATTTTTATGAACCAAAGACTTGACATATAATTATAAAAGTGATATTTTTAATTCCCATTCGGTATTCTGACAGCTCACTAAAATTGTGGACCAAAATTTTAATTTGGATCAAATCAATGTCCACAACCGACCAAAAATATAAAAGGACAAATAGAAAAAGTCAAGATTAAAACGAGGTTTGAGCATGATAATGACACTGAAACAGGTCCATCATAAGACTAGTTAATTATTTCCACATGATAATTTCTTCCATGGATCTGTAGAACCCACAAAAATTCTATGGTTTAAATGTAAGAATAATGGTAGTTCAGATTGTACAAGTACTTTTGTAGCATGACCAATAATTTTCAATTCTAACATTTAATAATTATGTAAACATCATAAAATTTTACCACCATAATGATCTGTCCATTTACTCATTTTTTTAGACATTTTAGAACTTTATAACATAGATTATGAATGAAGAAGAAGGATGAAGCACGCCAATAAGGGTTGTGGTGGAGTGCTAAGTATTTTTTCATCTTTAACTAGAAGCCCAAAGTTCGAGCCTTGAGTATGGAGTCACCTTTTGTTAGGGAGTGTTTTAATACACACATCCCCCAATGTGAGATTTTTCGGCAAATTCGAATTTAGTTGAGCCCCAATACAGATATTGGTGGAGAAAAATAGAGGATAAAACACGATTGTTGAGTACAAGAGGGTTCATTAGGGGTTTGTTTTGAAAATATACGGTAACATTATCAATTTGTAATATTGACTAATCAATTTAAAAATGAAACGTTTCGCACGGCTAAACTGACGTATAACGATATTAGAAGACGATAAAAGTGTGTTGTTATTTTGTCTACGGGGGACAAAGTTACAAAATAAGTTATCTATTTTCACTCGTAGTCTTCATATAATCAGAAGAAATTGTATTGTTACACGTCTCGCTCTTTTATTTTTATTTTTCATTTTGTTAAATTTGCTTTGATCTTTTCAAACTCCACAATCTCAATGAACCATTGAATTGGAGATTATATAAAAATAATAGGCGGTTGAGGATATTAGTTTGATTATTCAAGTCAACTTCTAAAGAATAGAAAAATAGATAAGAAGTAATAGTAATTAGTTTGTGATCTTATTAAATGATCTTGATTTATGTATGAATACCAACTAATGCCATTCTCTTCTGGCAGAGGTGCCTATAAAACTCATATTTTATTTACTAAGCAAAAACAACAAACTCAATATAATTCCATAAATGGAGTCTAGGAGTAGTGTGTATGCATACCGTACCTCTATCCTGATAAGGTAGAGAGGTTATTTCCGATATACCCTCGGTTCAAGAAAAGATGAAAAAAATAGTACCAACAAATAATAATAACAATAAAATAGTAAAAAGACCGAAGTAAAAGAAATATCATGTAATAATAATGATCTACGTCTAAGAATATTTACGACTTAAGCGTTTAAATATGATATATGATGGAATATACACTAAACACGGAAGTCTACGTCGTCAAGTAACGCTAACATGGACCAAGCAATATTTGTTATTACTCAGTTCAGGTCTTTAATTTAAAGTTTGATACGATATAAAATTAACAAAAATTATTCAAACCAAAAGAGTTGGTCTACCAAGTGGATTCTTATGTTTTATCGATAAGGTAATAATTAAATCTTGCATAAATTAGCCATGGAAAGTATACAATGTAGTGAAATACCATTTAAGGTACTAGTTAATTTAGTTCTTACCCATAACTTCATGAGACGCACTTATTTTCATAGCATCAGGTTCTAGATTTCTTTTCTTATATACATAAACTTTGATAATATGAAATTATAAAATAACTTTGTTGTGGTTTGGTTGTGATTTTCATTGATTTTATTTTGGATATGGATATTGTTCCGGATGAGTTGTTCTCAGCCATATTTTTTTGAATGCTTAGATACGAGACTTAACATTTTTTCTTTAAAAACTTTATTTTGGTGTATTTGGTTTGAGAGAATTGTTTTCAACTATATTTTTTTGTGAACGTGAAGATCTGAAAATTCACTATTTCTTTTAAGATTTTTCTCATAGATCGAAATTAATTATTCGTTTAAAAATTTGGATTGCCTTTTAGCTTTCATTCAATAGTAAAAACACACTCATTAAGTTTCATTAAAAAAATATTATGATTCAAATTTTATTATGAACAAATCAAAATATTTAAGAACGAAAAAAGTTGTATGTATTTTAAATGATTTAATTTTTAAAATTTTAATTTATCTTTAATAAAACATATTAAAATTGTAAATTTCCAAAGTATTCTTCTTACTAATTTTGGTGCGCAATCAAATGATTAAAACGGAGTAATAACAAGAGGTACCTTAGGTCCCACGTCAGATGGGGTCCACTGATCTCACAGGTGTCTTATCAAAAAATATTACCCAAATAAAAAATAACCAAACATACAAAAGTTCGCTCATTTCTTTGGGTCAGGAGAGATAGAGCCCTCTGTTTTCCATTTTCTTGTTCGAATCCTGTTAAAAAAAAAAAAAAAAAAAACTCAATCAACCGCCGAACTCGAGTCGCCGCACCGCCATGTATCGGAGTCGGTCGGCGCGATCCCCGAACCCCCGTGAACCGGACACTCGACTCGCTGAGTCCGATAAAATTGAAGGTGCCGGTGGTTGGGACGCCCTTGAATGGACTAAAATCGATGTAATTTACTTCTCTAGGGTTCCATCATTTCAATTATTATGCGTTGATTTCTGCATAATATTTCTTATTGAATGCGTAATTTGATGTTTTTCTGTATATAAATATGTGCAGCCTGTTTCGAGGTCGGTTCCAATCGGAGTGAAACAATTCTTGCTGGAGGATGAGCATGTTGTAGTAGAGGTAATGCTGGTAGTACTGTGTGTTCTTGGTGTTTGTATGTGTAGTGCATTTTAAAAAGATTTTTGTAGCTGCTGAATTTGGACTTTAGTGATTGTTGCTGTGTAATTAGAGTATGGGATACAGATAGTTGAGCTACTTGTTTTGAAAGAAATATGCATGAGATTAATTAGAGGATAATTTGTATCACAGTCAAAGATGATAGGGTAAAGGCAGTGTTAACAATGCGAAGTGAGGGCCGTGTTATGCCCCAAACTCAAATAAACAAAATCAAATGACAAACTAACTCACTTAAAAAGGGGTTATCGCGATTAATTAATCCTTTGTGAATTGCGAATGAGTATCTGCATTTTTGGATAGGATAAAGTAGCAATTGAGAATAGTGGTTTAGCTTTAACTTTTTTTATTAGAAGATTGGCATCCCATTCTAAGGTAACTTAGTACTTAGGTCATGAGTTCTGATGTTAGAAGCCTTTATTCCCATCCTGCATAGGAACTGCTCTTCTAAATTTAATTAAAAAGCTGCCTTTTAACCTTAAGTAGGACGCTAAGGGCCTAACTTAGAATAAGTTAGGTTTCCTTTAGTAATCATTATTCTTATCATTTTTGCAATTTATGATTTTTTTTTCTCTAGTTCAATCATATTTTTGTCCAAAAGCTTTAGAGACAAAGATCATAACTTACTTACAAAAAAAGTTGTGTTTGTCTAAAGCTTTAGGACAAAAATGTAATTGAACTACCCTTTTTTTTCCTTTTTGTGAATTTTGGACTAATTTAAGTTTTTTTTATTCTCTTCAGCTTAAGAATCATTATATCTTAATAAATGTTTATTGAGGTACATTTATCTAATTATCTAAAGAAAGTCTACCTTTAGTAAATTACATTTTAGATTGAGTAGTGAATTAAGAATTCTTTCCCCTTTCCAAATCCAAGGGACTTACATATTATGTGACATTGTGAAGAACTATGAAGGAAGTCTGTGAAGTCCTCAGATTGTTGTTTCAAACAGGATGCTGACATTTATTTCTGGATTTTCTATCTTTAGAAGCATTTATCGTCCAATGCATAATATACAATATGACTCCTCACAGGCCCACACATACACTGCCAACTATTAATAATCCTGGTTTGGTATTTAATATTTTTCCTGATTTATGGGAAGAAATGATGTTGGCGTAAGAGGGTGTTAGAAAATCATTTATATTACTTTATATGTTGATTTCATTTATAATTACTTAATGCGTTGATTGTTTTTTCTTATGATTGATTGCTTATTTATCTCCTCACGAGCTTCTTAATAGGGCTTCATTTAGATCATTAAGATGTACTGTATTGGAACAAAACTCACTTGGAGCAAACTATTAATAAGGTTTTGGTGAAAAGCCTCTGTACAAAAGCCTCAACTTGATCTCATAGAGGCTTTCAGTAGTTTCTGTCCTCTTCAGTTGCCACAATTTGGAGTCAGCGCAAGTTTCAATGTTAACTGATTTTTTCCAGGGTTATGGGGTAGTTCTTGTCAACACCGATGATGCTGGAACCTTATTTGTGACTAATTTTCGCCTCCTTTTCTTGGTAAGTGATGCATGTAGTTCTCTTATGTTATTTTCAATGGTGCATATGGACAAAATCTTACATTTGCTTGCATTCTGCTTTTGGAAGTTCCAGTTTGTAAACCTATGCTAGTGAAATTGTCCTCAAAATAGTGCAAATAAATGTCATATAATGATTTATAAGGCAATGATATTTGAAGGTCTAATGTCAGTTGTTAGAGCCATACTGATGAGGTATTTATATTGTCGAAATTCATAAATGCTAATGTCTTTATCCATCTTTTTTCGGATGCATGCACCTTGACTGAAAATTGTCTTCATCTTCTTTTTCTCTACAGTGGAACAGCTTTAAGGCTTGTAGTGACTAATTTTTCATTAGTTGTGTATCTTATCTTTTCATGTTCAGGATTGCTTGTTTGCGGTACTTACATGGTTGCGGGTAGATGTAAGATGATTAATATTCTTATCTCCAGAAAAAAAAATAAAGGAAACTAACAAAAGAAATTAAAGAAGTTTCTCAATTTCCGAAGCTTTCTCCCAGGTCAAGCAGAAGTAGCTTTCAGTTATCTTATCCCTTTCATATTCACAAGGATATGATCTGGTTATTTGGTTAAATCCCAATTCTTTCACCTGCCTGCCTACTCGAAACATGTGCAATTGATAGGGAGACTCGATGTTTTAAAAAGTGACAAGGCTGCAAGGGACTTAAGTGAACCAAAAAACAATAAGTGAATTGCTTCCATTTCACTGAAGTGCATATTTCAAGGAAGTGCAGAACAATTATATAACAGTGCAGCATGTAATGCCACTTGCAAATTAAATCTGCATATAATTAGTCCTAAGATTAATTTTAACACACATGTCATTATGAGTCAGGTAAAGTATACCTGCTTGGAGGATCGCTGCAGCCAGCAGAGATGAATAGCTAAGATCCAAAATGAGGATTTCATCATGCCTTGCGCTGGATTATGTCATCTGTCTTTTAGTATTATAAGTCATTTGCTGAACCAAGAGTATAAAAAAATTCACACTGACTAGTAAATAAGACCAGATCTAAGCATGGCTATATATCGAAGTAGACACGAGCCTGGCGCACTTGGCTGTGGTAGAGTGAAGCTCTGAGGCCTCACATCAGTTTACCTGGCTCCTTTAAGAAAGGAGCAAGTTGTGGCTAGGATCTCTTGCTAACCTAAGGTTTGATAAGAAGTTTCCCACAATTTCAAGGCTAATTTCCTTCAGCTTGGCACAAAATTCAAATAGCTGAGCCCATAGGATGGCCTGCTTGTTTGTATTTCTGGCAGAAAATATTTGTCTCCAATCTTCGTGGAATCAACTGTCAACACAGGGGTAATTTCATTTGGTTGGTGACTTCTGAAATATTCTGTTGAGACTGAAACACCGTCTTGAAATAAGTCTACAAACAGAGGTTTCAAAATGTATTCTAATGGGGACCGCTTCCTCCCTCTTGCCAAAGAGACTTTTTTCATGGATGTTAGGGAGGAATTTGTTCTAACTTATATGTTGGTTCTGTTAACTGATACTGTATTAAGTCAGAAGCATAACACAAAAGGGCAGCCCGGTGCACAAAAGCATCCCGCATTCATGCAGGGTCCAGGGAAGGGCCACACCTCTTGGGGTATGATCTAGACAGCCTATCCTAATGCAAGCATTAGTGGCTGCTTCCACGGCTCGAATCCATGACCTATATGTCACATGGAGACAACTGTACCCGTTAAGTCAGAAGCATCAATTCTCCAAACTCTGTGATAACTGATGAAAAGGTTCTTCTTCCAGCTAGAAGTACATTTTTTTATTCCCCCACCCCCAAAAAAAAAAAAAAAAAAAG